GGATAGGGGATGGGATGGGACAGGGATAGGGGATGGGATGGGACAGGGCAAGACTGGGCGGGATGGGATGGAGGGTGGGACAGGATGAGGGACGGGAGAGAATGGGGGATGGGAGGGGATGGGACAGAGGACAAGACAGGATGGAGGATGGGGTGAGATGGAGGACGGGATGGGCTGAGGGATGGGAGGGAGGATGGTACAGGATGGGGGGTGGGATGGGGGCTGAGATGGGATGAGATGGAGGATGGGATTGGATGAGGTGTGGAGGATGGGATGGTTGGGGGACGGGATGGGACAGGGCAGGATGGGATGCGATGGAGGATGAGATGGAGGATAAGATGGGATGCAATAGAAGATGGGATGGGATGTGACGGAGGATGGGATGGGATGGGAGGGAATGGGATGTGACGGAGGATGGGATAGGATGGGGGGCTGCATGGGCCCACCCAGTACTGTCCGCTCCTTAACACACCGCCCAGCCATAACCTGGAGATGAAGCACCTGCCCGGTGCTGACCCCGAGCTTGTGCTCCTCAGCCACCGATACGAGGAGCTGGAGGTGAGCGGGCAGCACGGCACCCACCACTGCAGCAGGGTCTGGGGTGGTCGGTGCCCCACAGGCGCCAGGCTGCAATCCCTCTCTGCATGCAGAGAATCCCCCTGAGCGACATGACCCGGGAGGAGATCAACCAGCTGGTGCAGGAGCTGGGCTTCTACCGCAAGGAGACACCTGATGCCCCCGTGCCTGAAGAGTTCCAGTTTGCCCCTGCCAGGCCTCTGCCCACCCTGCTGCCCCATCAAGCTCCCGCTGCTGATGGCAAGACCCCACCTGAACGTGATGAGGGAGAACACCCAGACCTCTAGCGAGGGGTGCCGCACTCAGGAGAGGGTCCGGCAGCCAGTCCCCAGCGCCTGGGGACAAGGGTGTTACAGCAGGTGGGAACAGTGCCGCGGGGTGCCAAAGGTGCCCCTGCTGTTGTTTGGTGCTGTGTAGCCTCTGCCCCGAGGATGCCCTGAGCAGCTCCAGCCTTGAGCAGGGGCTTCCTGGGCATTGCGGACATCCCGGGGGTCCCGTGTGCCTGTTGTTGCCCTCCCTCCCCTGCAGCCCGGTATCCCTGGACAGTTGGGAGGAGTGGCATTCTTTGTGCTCCCTCACCGTGCCCTGAGATTTAGCTGACTCCCCGTGCTGGGCAGTGGTATCCTACCTGCGTGGGACAGGATGAAACCCTCAGCAGAAAGCCCCAGGTGCTGAGGGTAGATGTGCTGAGTCCCAGAGGTGGGAGAGCTGTCCCCGGGAGGGTATGGCTTTACACCCCAGCAGGGTTGCCTCGTATCGAGCCCCCAGTAAAGCCCTTGCATACAATTGGCTGCACTGTGTCGTCTTTCCAGGGAGGGCTGGGCTCGGTGCATCCCACACTGCTCTGTACTGGGTGCTGGGAGGAGCTGGGTGCCCCAGAGCTGCTCGCAGAGGCAGGAAGGGATGGCAGGGTCATAGCCGCTGCTGGCAAGCTGACAAACCATCCCACGGACCAACCATGGTGTTCCTGTGCCACCCCCTCCCTGGTGCGATGGATGGATGGGGCACCACGGCTTGGGATGAGCTGCTCTCACAAGGCGCAGGGGGATGGGTACGAGCCCACGAGTGGGTCCTGCAGTGCTGAGCTGAAGCCCAATGGCTGCGCTGGCTCAGCAGGGACATCTGGTCCTTGGCTGGGGAATGGAACAGGGCACAGCTATGCCGTCTGCAGACCTGGCTCTGTGCAGCCTCGGTGGCAGCGTGGGGTCTTCTCCACGTACCAAGCTTGGGGGCGGCAGGGGGCGGTGAACCAACAGCCTTTGGTCGGGGTGGGACGCCGATGGTGCCCCTGGGCTTCGGGCATCAGAGCAGCATGTGCCCCACATCTCCCCCCCGGCTGGGTGAGCAGTGGGCCTGCAGGCAGGGGGCTCCAGGAGCAGGCAGGGCTGCCAGCACTCGCCCCAGGCACTGCAGCGGGCGCTGCACTGGTGACACGAAGCAGCGGTGCGGCCGAGGAGATGGACCCAAGGCAGAGGCGTCACCCTATAGAATAAACCTTTATTGTCTGGCTGGTGTTGGTACACGTGTCAACGCGGGTGTAGAGACGGTGATGGAGGGGTGAGCGGCGCTGAGCACGTGGTGCCCTGAGCTGGGCTGGGGAGGAGAGCGGGGGCTGCTGTCCCAGCTCACTCCTTGGGCCCCTCGCTCCCCCAGGACCCCTTGCCTCCCCACCCACTCCCCAGCACACGGGTGCTGCAACCCCCCGGTGTGGAAGCGCCCCAGAGTGCATGTGTGCAGTGGGAAGCAGGGTGTCAGCACGGGGCCGTGGAGCCATCCCTAGGGAGGTGGCACCAAGCAGGGCCTGCGGTGGGCAGAGGGACTTCCTTGCAGGGGGCCAAGGAGGACCGCTTGTGGGCGTGCTGCCTGTGGAATGCACCACGACCTGGGCTGGGCTGCACAACCCTGCTCTGCCGCCAACCCATGCCAGCCCCGGGCCCGAGGGCGCAGCCATGCCCGGACCTCCCCAGGGATGCAGGGGTGCTGCCCACGGGACAAACAACTCCTGGAGAACAAATAACTTAACATGCTGGAGCACGGGAGGTGAGCCAAGCTGGGGAACATCCCTGGCAGTGCCTGCCTGGCCCTGCCCACAGGGTCAGCCCGCAGCCAGCCGGGGCAGAGGGAGCTCCAGCGAGGCAGAGGCGTGGGGTTGCCCTGGTGGCAGAGCCCCCCGTCCCCAGCGCCGGTCCCGTGGCCTCCCTGGACCCTCCTGGGGCAGGCAGCTCCCCTGCCCACCGGCAGCCCTGAGGGCAGGGGGGTGGCAGGCAGGGCAGGCTCTAGCACTCTTTCTGCCGCATGCGCAACTCGTGGCGACGCAGGTGGTTGTAGAGGGACTGCACGTAGGTGAAGACGCACTTGGAGTCCGGCTTCTTCCCCATGATCATCATGTCTTCCACCTCCACCAGGGGCACGCAGTCCACCAGCGTCCTGCAGAGATGCAGTCCTCAGCACAGCCCCAGGCGGGCTGCCCCACCGCAGGGGCTGGGACGGGTGACCCACGACACCCAGGGCCTGCTGGCGCTGGGCACCGCTGCCCTCAGCCCCGCTCAGCTCCTGCCTGCCCCTCGGTACCCACATTCCTGCCGCTCCTGGCACTGGGAAGAGTGTGTGCTGCCTGCAATGGGGGGCTGCCTGGCTGCCTGCAGCCTTTGCCACCCTGGCGCTCTCTGCCCCAGCTCTTGGTGCTAAGTTACCCCCTGCCCAGGCTGTGCCCACCCTCCTCCTCCTCCTTCAGCTGATGCTGGTGCATTGTAGGGAGAGACCTGCCTGCCTGCCCACATGTGTCTGTGCTGTGCCCCTGCCCCAAATGCCACGGGCTGGTCCAGGGAAAGGTGGGAGGGGTCCTGGTCACATGCTGCCCATTGCTCCTGCCACAAGCTTGTGGTGCTCTCCTGCCTCCCATCAGCTCTGCCAGCCCAGTTCCTACCCTCATGCTGGACTGGAGCCCGGAGGGCTGCCTGCCCCAGGCACAGCAGTGCACCACTGGTGGGGTGAGCACAGCCCAGCTTCAACCAGCTCAGCGTTGGCCTGTGCCTACCACCTCCCGGCCTGTGCCTACCCCGTCCCAGCCTGGGCCCCTGGGGCTGTGCTGGGGTCTCTGCAGGGCCCTGCTCCAGCAGCTGCCAACCTTGGGGGGCGCTGGCACAGCAGCCATGGCTGTCCCCACAGCCTCTGGGCTCTGCCACTGCCCCTTTAGTGGAGTGGCAGCCCTGCCCTCCCTCTGCCCGCACCACCCACCCAGCTCCCTGGGCTGCAGGTGCCATCTCTCTCCCCAGGCTGGGGCTCCCTGGGCAGCTGGGGAGGGTCCAGCTTGAGGGGGCTGCCAGTACTGTTGGAGCAGTCATTGTGACAGCCAGGCAGGGCATGGAGGGGAACTGGCCACCTCTGTCCTCTTGCCTTTCTGCTGGGGGCTGGTGGGGAGGGGGGGGGGGGGGAGAAGCAACCCTGCAACTGTTGCCACCCCCCGGCCCTGCCCGGGTCCATGCATACCTACCAGGCAATGCGGCAAGTGCCAGCACCCACCAGGGGACAGACAGTGCCGGAGCACCCCAGGCTGCTGCTGCCGATACAGGCCGATGTAGCCATTAGTGCCTGGGGCAGGGGCTGCGCCGGCACCTGGGGGCTGCTTGGTGCAAACTGGCAGCCCCCGCTGATGCCATGGCTGGCCTGGCAGCTCTGGCCCCAGGGCCACCCTCTGGCAGGGGCTCTGCGCCAATGACAGGGTGCACTGGGCAGCTCTGAGCACAAGGAGGGTTTAAACACCAAGCTGCACCATCATAACACTCCCCCCCAAGCCCTCTCCCCCATCTCCCCAGGATGTAGTAACCCCCCTGCACACCTCAGCCCTCCAGCACAGCCCACCCCAGCCCCCTGGGCTGGCACCGGCACAGCCAAGGAGAGACCCCCAGCTGGTGCCAGCCCCCTGGGGAGCAGCAGGGCCAAGGAGAGCCACATGGTCTGGGCCCTGCCCGGTACCCTGCTCCTCCACCCCGCCGCCCCAGCTCTCCCACAGGGCCTCTGCTGCAGTGGAGTCGATGCAGCTGTGGAGGCAATGGGCTCTGAGCCCATGGCCTGGCCAGCACCAGCCCACCTCGTGATTCGGCCGCCCTGGGGAGAGGGGGTGGGGGCCGTGCTGAGGACCTTGGGAAAGCCCCCGCCTGAGCTCCAGAGGCCCCCTGCCACTGCCAGCCCTGGCTCAGGGGGTGATGGCAAAGTAATGGCAGCGCAGGGAGAGCGGCTCTGCCCTTATAAAGCCATTGTTTGGGCCCTGGTGTGCTGGTGCTGCACAGAGCCCAGGGGAGCAGCAGCTTCAGCGCCAGCTGGGATGCCCTGAAGACAGGCACAAACACTGCAAGACGAGGCAGGACCTAAGCCTTGACTCACACTTTCCAGGCTCCCCACTCTTGCCCATATATGAGCAGGCAGCACCTCACAGGCAGGGCACCATCACCCATGCCTGGTCCCGCAGCAGCGGCTGCAGCTCCCCCCGGGGCTGGGGCCAGCAGCCCCCACACACCCCAGGATGGGGGGAAGGAGGCAGCAAGTGCAAGCAGTAATGCTGGGGCATCCCGGGAGGGGGCTCACCCACACCCAGGCAGCACCGCTCGGGCTCGTGCTGCTGCAGAGCACCCAGAGCGGCGTCCCCAGCAGCTAATCCCCTGGGTTGGGCTCAGCCAGCAGGGAAGGGGAGAGCTGTGGCAGCTCTGTTCCCGCTAGCGCAACCCCTGTGGCTGGAAAGCCACCAGCCCCCCAGGGTGACACAGTCCCCCCTCCCCAGATCCCCATGGATGCTATTCTGGAAGGCCAGAGGCCAGCCGGCCACCTCCACCCCTCTCCTGGCCACAGCTTGACCCTGCCAGCTGACACCACCAGGACTCGCCCCTCGCCCACCAGCATCCCCCAGCCTCTTCCCCAGCCACGGCGGCCACTCCCTGGCCCTCGGCCAAGCGGCAGCGGTGAGGCACGGGCAGGTATTTGGAGGGGAAGGTTCTCACCATCGCTCCCGGGGGGGGTGAAAATGGGCTACGACTTTTTGGTTTTTACCAGCCCCTTCTGGACCAGGCAGCGATAGAATTCCTGAATGTATGTGTACACACACTTCCAATCCGGCTCGCGCATCCGGACCATGTCCTCCACGTCCAGCAACTGCGGACAGTCCGCGTGCTTCCTGGGGGCAGGGAGAGAGAGGGGCAAGCCAGTGACCGCAGCCCAGTCGGGGAGGGGAGGAAGAGAAAACAAGAGACACGGATCAATGCAGTTCCCGTCCCCCCGCCCCGGGCAGATGCTGCTCTGCTCTCGCATGCTCTGGCGGTGCACGATGCAGGGGCAGGAGGGCTCCGGACACCGCCGCGCCAAGGCCATTCAGTGAGATTTGGGGGGGCACAAGCAAGGGAGGGGGAGGGCAGGTGAGCAGCGTGGAGAGGCGTGAGGTCCAGAGGGAAGGACAGACGGAGGCAGAGGAGGAGGAGTGAGGTGTTCTGGCACGCCAGGTGCTCGGGTAGCGGGTTCCAGAGCGGAGCGGCGCTCTATATAGACCCTATATAGACCCGCCGGGAGGATGGCGGGGGCGAGCCCAGCCCTCCTGCCCGGCTCCGCTTGGAACCACCGGCACAGCCCTGGTGCAGGAAGCTCGGGAGAAGACGCTCGCAAGAGCTGGAGGAGGAGGAAGGACGAGAGGCCACCTGGCTTCCAGGCTGGAGAGATCGATGGCGCTCTCAAGTCCACGCACTGGTTCCCCAATTAAGGCAAAAAGTCCATTACCAGGAGCGCCAAGAGCCAGGCACACGGCCCCCCTTCTCGCTCCACTGAACAGCACCGTGGCACCCAGGGAGCTCATGGGAGCTCCCAGCTCACACCACCGCCCCAGGCACTGGCCGGGATGGGACCCCCACCCACGTGGCCCTGCCCCTGGGCAGGGTGCTGGAGGGGAGGAGGAGTGGGTGGGAGAGAGACAGAAGGAAGGAGAGAGGGGCTGGCTGCCAGCCCTCCAGCTGGACGCGCTCCCATCTCTCAGCACCCAGGAAAACCAGAAGCAAAAAGGGAAGGGAAGAGACTGGAGAAGCTGCGACGGTGTTTGAGCCCCTACGACCATGAAAGGAGGCACCTGGCACAGCCAAACCCCACTCCCCAGGGGCTGCGGTCCCGCACCCAGCACCCTGGGATGGGATGTACTGCCTGCAGCCGGGCAGGCTTGGGGGGCTGCTGCCCTGCCTTTGGGTGCTCTGCCCCACACCTAGGAAGCCCAGACCCCCACGCCCACCCTCGCCACGCCAGACTCGTGGCTCTGTCCACGCAGCCACTGCTTTCACCCCCGGTGTCCAAACCTTGTTGCACGACACGGGGGGGGAGCGATGCTGACAGGTGCCCACCTCCAGCGCCATCGCCCCTGTCCACGTCCCCCCTCACCCCGGGCAGTGACCGGGAGAGCCACCCCGAGCCCACGTGATGGCACGAGAGCTACGTACTCTGCGGAGGAGAAGGCCACCTCAAAGTTGTGGCGGCGGTTCTGGGGCGTCAGCTGGCTGTAGTCAAATGCCTCAGGGAAGAAGTTGTGGACCAAGGCACAGAAGGCCATGCCATCACTCCAGCTGGATGAGAAGTTCTGGATGTCCACGTGCTGTGAGGGCAGGAGAGTTACCAAGGGGCAGAATGACCAGCCCTGGGGACGGGGAGAGGAGATGACACTCACCTCATAGCCCCGGGTCTTGGCTCTGCACCAGTCTAGCAACATCTGCTTGATGCTGTTGGCATTGGGCACGCCAAAGCTGGAGGAGCGCTGCACGGCAGTGCGTGCCACTGCGGGGTTTGGCGAGCTGCAGCAGAAGACGTGGGGTGTTATCCACACAGCGCTTGCCACCCCAGCCAGCCTGCCCCTGGCCCAGCCTCACCTCACGGCCTCCTTCTGCAGCTTCTCCATCATGGCCTTACGAGCCTGCGAGGCCGATGTCTTGGGCAGGCTCTGAGCTTTCATCAACTCCTTCTTCTTCTCAGCCTGGCGCCGCTCCAGCGCGGCCAGGCTGCTCTGCCTGGAGGCACTCTCGTCTTCACGGTCGAAGATGCTGGGAGAGAGACAGATGAAGCTAAGGGGGCTGCAGGCAGCCCATGGAAGGGCACGTGGTGGCCTCAGCCCATTGCCAGCCCTGGAGCTTTGGAGACCTCCATGTCCCTGGGACAGAATAGGGGTGGCTTAAGGTCTCCGGCTGGCATACACATCTCCATGCCCATGGAGGGACCCATGAGGACTGCTGGAGACAGCGAGCATGCCCCAAGGACCAGGAGGCTTTGGAGACATCCCTGCATGAGGATACTGCAAGCTGGGCAGAGAGGGTTTGTGCAAGCACGTGGCTGACACGGACTGCTTGGGGCTGGCCCTGGGGAGGCACCGCCACTCACCTGCCCGTCTTCTTGGAAGAGGAGCTGTAGGATGATTTGGTTTGAACAAATGTGCTGTTGCCATCTGCAGAGAGAGAGAAACAGGCCTTGGGCAGGAGCTGAGGGAAGTGGCACCAGGCAGGTTGGGGGCTCTGCCCACACCACAGGCAGGGATGGCTCGGCAGCTGCAATGCCCCTGGCATTACACCCAGAGGATGCCGTAGGGAAAGGGCAGCAAAAGCTCTTACTGTCAGATCTCTTCACGTAACTTGACTCCATGGTTGTAGTACGGGAGGTCTTGCTGCCATCGCCTGGAGGGGGCAAGGCAATGGGTAAGATCAGCTGGGGCCAGGGGCAGCGGCACCCACAGACACCCACTGCTGCCAAGCACCCTCGCATCCAAGTAGCGCAACAGGGAGAAGTCCCAGGTGGCAGAGCCATGGCCAGGGCAGGCAGAGGGGGGACAGATGGCATGTGCCCCCCAGGCAGAGCAAAGGGGCCAGTGCGAAGGAGTGGGGAGCTGGAGCATCTCTCAGACCCCTGCAGCGACTCTCAGCTTGAGCTACCCAGGGACTGGGAGAGCAGAGGTGTAGGGGACAGGAGACAGGCCCAAGGTGCAGACAAGGCCCCTGCCACCCTGACAGGGCAGAGGATCAGGTGGGAAGTCGCCAGAGCAGATCCCTTAAAGATCCCCAGGCAGGCTCTGGGCAAGCCAGAGGAGATGTAGCAAAACTCAGCCCTGAACCACGGTTCTGCTCCCAGTGTGGTCAAGCCAGACCCAGGACAAGTGGTGAGAGTGGCAGAGAGAAGCTGTGGTGGCAGAGCTCCGGGAAAGACTCTGCACGGCCTCCCAAAGGGCCGGCACACTGGTCGTGCTGGGCAAGCGAGCCCTGTGCCCCCCCACCCCCACCCGTACTAGACTGGATGAGACGCTCGGTCTTGGTGACGGTGCTGCGTGCCGAGCCGTCAGCTGACTGGGTGCTCTGCGTGGTGGTGGTCTCTGTGCTGTGGCCGGCCCTCCCTGCCGTAGCCTGGCTCCTCGTCTCCTGCAGCCGCTGGTCCCGCTCCTTCTCCCGCTGGTCTGCAAACATGAGTGGGAGACAGCATCAGCAGCGAGAGGCAGGAGCGGCAGGGGGTCCTGCTCACTGCTGCTGGTCCAGAACTGGCTTGTGGGAAGGACGATGTCCTCAGCCTGGCACAGCCAGGGGTGCAATAGAAGACCCAACGCACCCTCCTGCTTCACCACAGCTGGACGGCCCCGCTCCAGCACCCTGCTGGCTCCGCCTGCAATGCCACCACCAGAGCCCCAACCCCTGCAGGGGTCACCGTCCTCAAGTACCTCGCTTGCGCTGGCGCAGCTCCCGCATGGCGTTTCGGATCAGTCGCCGCTCCTCAAAGTCCATCGTCCGATCCAGCTGCAGGAGGAGGTGGAGGTCAGCATCACCCCTCTGCCACCAGCTCCGGGTCCTCTCACCTTCCCCCAGAAGCCTGGCAGCAGAGAAGGTTACCATCTTATCCAGAACTTCCTCATCCTCGATCCTGTTCAGCTCCTCGACGTTCAGCTTGCTCCTTCTCTCCAGCTCCCTCACTTGGACCTTCTCCATGCCATTGGGCAACTCCGGCTCCAGCCTTGGTGCCTGGGGCTGCTCCACCACCTCCGGCTCCATCTACAAGGACAGCACCGTGAGACTGAGCCCCCGCCATGCTGCTCAGGGTCCAACCCCCCCATCGCCCTGACACTTGCCCAGTGCCATGGGCAGCAGGGACCCTGGAGAAGATGTGCCACGTGCGGCGTAAGAGCTCACAGCTGGTGGGATGCCGCGGGCATCCACAGCAACCAAGGCAGGCAGGGGAGTGCGACATCCCCCCCTGTGGCACCCCCTGCCCTGGGAGGGCCTGGCAGTCTCTGACCTGCTCCCAGTCTGGCTGCCAAAATGTCCCCAAATATTCCCCACCCCCCATCACTGCAGGCTGCCAGGGCCCTCCAGCAGGCAGGGGCTGCCCAGCTGCTCCAGGCTGGGCAGTGCCTGGTGCCCAGCAGCGGGCAAGGTGCTGGCAAGGCCAGCGTGCGCCATTAGCAGCACAAGGGATTTCCAGGGAATTAAGGGACTTAGTGGAGAGAATAGCTTGTGCAGGAGATCAAGAGCCTCCCCCGCCTCCCTGCTCAGGATCTAGGCCAGCTCGGCCCCCGCCGGAGCAAAGCCAGGACGCCAAGTCCCTTTCAGCACGACCCCCCAGCAATGCGCAGCAGGCAGCGGGCCAGGCCCGGAATAGGGCAGGGAGGCAGCAGAGAGGAGGTGCCGGCATGGGGCCGGAGCAGCCCTGCCGCACACCTGGCCCATGGCAAAGCTGCCAGCGGGAGGTGACACTGGCTACGTGCGCCCGTGCCACCACCTGCACCTCGCCACTGCTGTGTGTGGGCCGGGGCAGGACAGCTGCCTGCAGCCTGCCCGCCTGGCCGGCACGCCAGCAATTCAGAGCAGGCAGGTGCCGTTTGCCCCCCGCAGCAGTGAGCCAAAATGGTGGCAGATCCCAGTGACGCTGCGTCGCCTGTGCACCGCAGCCACAGTCCCACCTTGTGCCAGGGGCTTCGCCTTCGCTCCAGACACCCCCCGGGGCCGCCAGGAGCCCTGTGAGCCGGTACCACCCTCCCGCCCAAAAAAAACTGCCGTGGGGCAGGGCTGCCTGCACTCACGCCGCTGTTGCTCCGGGAGAGGTGCAGGGCCGATTGCTGGCGCGTACTGGAGAAAGCAGGTGGATGGGCCACGGGGCCACCAGGCTCCTCAGTGCCCTCAAAGTGGGCACAAGGCTCCTGTGCTTCCAGAAAGAGGGTGCTGAGGTCCTCCCCGGGGGGCTCCTGCGTCCCCAGCTGCAGCGCCAGCAAGTCGAGACGGCGGCCCAGGCGTGCCAGCTCTGCCCGCAGCTCCAGGTGCTCCTCCTCCAGCGCCCGCAGCGCCCGCGCCAGGGGCTGCACCCCCTGCAGTGCCTGCTCCAGCTGCCCCTCCATTGTCTCCCGGAAAGCCCCCAGCTCCCGCCGCAGCTCCGCCAGCTCGGCTGCCCCGGACTTCGCCAGCACCCCC